GCTTGTAAGGGTATTTAATGTTTTAGGTCCCTCACTGTGTTTGCTGTGTTTGTTATCACTTTCACACACACAATCGCTTGCTCTCACTCTCTCTCACTAACTCTCTCTTTCACTCTCCCTCTCTTTACGGAAAGCTATCGTTACTTTATTATGTTCTCTTTTTTTTATATAAGCACATATATATATATATAAATTATTTTTTTTTTCATTTTCGCTTTCTGTTCTCACTTTACGATTGCAAGACTACCCGCCCATCCGCATTATGATTATTATTTATTATAGCCGGTAATTTTATGGCGCGTGGCTATTTATCTGAAAATTGCATTAACGGAACGAACCAAGTTAATAAATTATCCTCAAATTGGCCAGCACGCAACCAAAGGCTGCACGTAATAAATGCGAACGCCAAACACCATCAGATAGTCTGTTGTTCCATACAAATCAAGATTCAGCTGCAACTGAAAAGTTTACAATGTGTCGCTAAATTTTATAGCCTTTGTGTGTGTGTGTGTGGAGGTGTGTGTGTTTAACAAAGGACTTCTTCGAACCCAAAAGCTATATATAGTGCTAAGCAGCACGTCGTGCTGAAACGATAAGGCCAAATCCGTCTGTCAAGTTCATAGCACATAACAAAAGCTAAAACGAACATCTATTATTTGATTTGTTTATATAATACTTATTTGTTCACAAATATGAAACGCCTTGTTATGCGATTTTCTTTCAGCTTAGGTGTAAACGCATATAAGACATTTATATCTATTTTTAATAATCGGCATTCATTTATTAATATACGAATATACGAAACTTTCTCTGACATCCTTTGCAACATTTATGCTGAAAAAATGGTTTTGCTTAACTGGAAAGCACGCCAAATTCTTTCCGGAATTAATGTTTATTAATTGAATGCCAAATTAATGAAACGTTATAACGCGATTTTCGCATTAATTGCCATAATTTGGTAATTAAAATGTATAACATTCTTCAGGTTCAACTCAAAAGCATACGACTTTTGCTTTAATGTGTCCGTTTGATTGCTGCCATGGCAGATACAAAAATGTCAATTATTCGCACATGAAAAGGCATAATTTCAATCAAGCTGCATCATTGCAAACGGCATAGGTTCAAATATGCGGTATTTTCCAATAAAAAGTTGCAACCTGCTCACATTGATTTTTGCCATTTAACTGAACTTTATGCCAAAATTGATCCCAAATTTGCTGTAAGAGAAGCCGCAAAAATATTTGTTGACCATCGGGAATGCCATACATTCTTTCTCTTCAGCTATCTATCTGTGTCCAGCAAGCAACTATACTCTATATCCAGGTCCGGCAAGCTGTAATCCATTTACCCAACTGGCTGCAGTCAATATTCCTCAACTCGTTTAACTTGAACAAATTTTTGCGTCTAAGCCGCAACGAAAGTTACCAAGAGCAGGGCGCGGCGGGCAGTGGAGCAGGCCGGAAGTGGAACAGCAATGCTCGCAAAAACGTCTTAAGACGCACACACACACGCACGCACACACACACAAACATCCCCTCTGCCCCAAAAAGCCGAAACTTGGGCATGCCTAAGCGCATTTAAGCAACCATACCAACCAGACTCAAGATTCAAGCCTCAAGCCTCAAAATGCTTCCCTCGGCGACAAGCCCACAAAAAGCCAAGAAAAAAACATATATATATATATATATCTGTATATATATAAAGAGGAAAAACAAGTATGGCATAAAAGTTTCAATATCCTTGTGGAGCAATCCAAAAACAGTTCCCACTGGTATTCCATGCCGATTTCTCTAATACAATTATGAGCGTCTGTCAGTGACAGCAGATTCGGAGAAATGCCCACAAAAGCATGCTATGAAAAATACGCAAAATATTCTCTTAAGTACGTTCGTTCATATTTATTGGCCAAAAATTGTATGACAAGCTAAAACCTCTAATTTGGTATGAAAATGTTAAAAGCATAAACTATTTCAACAAAAATTTACAAACATTCTTTTAGTTAGGGATTACTGAAAAATTCATAGTTTAAAAATTAAATGAATAAATTTATGTAATGTAAACTTTGATAATTATATTTGTTTCAGAAGACGTTAAATGGGTCTAAGCGAGGTAAATTGTGGGTAACAAAGTTGTGATAATAATTAAAAAAGAATATGTTTTCAAATATATGTCGACAATTTATACGAAGTTCATGGGGTTTCACTCAGTTTCGACTTTAAATATATTCTTACTCTTTTACAATACACTTTTAAAACACATGCGGGTGACATATGCAAACATGAGAACTAAGAAACCAAATACTGCATATTTTGGACATTTCTGTTTGCGCTTCGTAGGCCACAAATATGCCCAATACCCAATAATTTGAGCACTTAGCAGCTTATTGGCCTGTTATCTGCGAGTCTGGTCGGGATTTGGACTGAATGCAATTTGCAGGCATTTGAATATTTTGGTCTTAAGTTTTTGTCAAAGCAATTCGAAACAACTTTTCGGATGCCAAAAGATCTTGGGACGCGTTTAATGCAAAATTAAGCTGTATAATCGTTGTTGTTGTTGTCAAAGCAGAGCAGCTGGCAGCATATCTATACAGATATGTATGCATACGCATACGCACATATAGATTTATATGTAGGTATGTGTGTACATGCACGCATGTATTTGCGTTCCGTTTTCCATGGAATTTTTGAATTTAAAAGCACCTCAATTGCTGCTTTTGATGTGACCCCCTGCTGTATGCGGCATCTGACAGTTGTGGGCGTGCACAATGGGCGTGAATCGTATGGTTCTGTATAGCTCACATTAGTCGGTTTTAATGAGTTCAATCGTTGACACGAACAACTCGTGCATATGTCAGCCAAGCAGGCTTTTCACTAACAAACACAATTTCCAGACGGTTTGCAGTGTTGGCTTTTCCAAGGAATCAAAAGAAAACTGTCATTAAAAACCTGATGTCTATTCGATTTAATACGCAGTTCAATGCTTTTTACCTATTACAACTATATGTGTGTATATAAAAAGTGCTTATTTTGAATTTTATACTTTTAATTTGTCACTTTATAGGTCTTACTTTAGAAATTCCAATTAAAGTTTTCAATGGAAATACATTTGATTGCATCTGAACAAAATAAAAGTATTTGACATATTTTGTACCATATCTGTTTTCCATTACGATTCATTTAATTAAGTGTAGGTCGTTTTCGAAGAGCTGAAATTTCAGTATTCACATGTGATTTAAATTAGAATGAGATAATTAAAATAAGTCACAATAATTCAAATTAAATTATTGTTTTACGACAAAGCTTTTCTTTACAAAAGTTTTAATTTAAATACACATATTTTCTCAAGTAATGCTTTAATGTTGCTTGGCTCTTTAATAAAACATTAGTTAAGCCTCTGAACTTTACGAACTGTTGCTTTTTGCTTTTGTGCCTTTTGCAAACTTTGCATTAAGTTGTTTTAATCGTAATATGCCGCTTACACCCCAACTAAAGGGTATGTTCAACTAATGAAAACGGCATGTTTGGCAATTTTGTTATTCCTATTAGTTTAATATTACATTCCATTCGCTCAAATACATACTACCTAAAGAAAATTCCTAGATTTAAAAAAAAAAAAATATGCTCGTTATCGCTAAATTGTCTTCCATAAGAACTCGGTGCGGGTGTGCTCCAGTCGGGTTGTCTTAATTTCATTGAAACGCGAAGAAAAAAAGAAAATGATGTCTGCAAAGCTGGCAACTGGGTTTTGTTAACCATGTGCTACTCATTTGTGCCGGATTCTCGGGGCTCTCACCCCCTCTCACAGAGCTCTCGGCAGCTTGGGTGTCGGCTTTCAGCTACTTTTGCTCAGCTTGGCAGCAAACATAAACAAAATTAAGCAGCAGCATCAGCAGCAGCTTTCAGCTGCACGCCCCACATAAATTTGTCTAATTACTTTTCGCACAACTTCAGTGCAGATGCCAACTGTTAAACTTTCGGCAAATGGTTGCGTTTTAAGTTTAATTATCTTAGTTGGCAACGACAATAATGCTTTAGCCTAACACAGGGTATTTGCTCCTTTATCATATATACAGTCCCTGGCCGCCATGCGTCTCTGCATGTGTGCATCCCATTTATGTATATGGATATTAAATTTATTAAATTAACAAATTTTAATTTAGAGGATTTAAATATTTTATATATATTCACTATCGCACTGGCGCAGCTTGAAAATATAAATAATTTTCCAAAAATATTTGCCAAATTAAAAAAAAATAATTTTTTGAACAAAAATATGCCTTCAAGCTTAGCTGTTTCTTACTCAACTTTGAAAGTTCAATATCGGCTGTTTGTTGAACAGAAGTAAATTTATAACAGAAAACAACAAATACTCTAATTTAATTAAAGTCTTTTGTAATCAGCACATTTGTATTAAGTTGTAGTTAGTTCGACCCCCTCAAAAGTTTTGTAAAGTTGAAAGCACATTTCATATCCAAAACTTAAATCTTTGCAGCTCTGTTGTGCTCTCCGATTTTTCAAGTGAAATTCAAAGCAAAGTACATGCTAAGAGCTCATGAATTTAACGTGACAACCGGCTTTAGAATTTAGCCGGAAATCGTATTTGTTGATTTAACACAGTTTTCGGAAATTGCGCTCTAGCAGGGCAAATAAATTGCTGCCCATAAAGTTGACTTTGGCAAAGTTGACAACACTTTTACGCCGATTTTGTTACACTGCATTTAATTTATATTAAATTGTGCCCGGGTATTTAATCTTTACCATGCCAAAGCTAGACGATTTTTGAAAATTCCAAAAGCCTGGCCGTCCCCTCTAGATAAACAAAACAGTTTAATAGAGCTTCGGCACAGGGCTCTGCCGCCGCCGGCCCTATTGCCATCTCTGTCTAGACACTGTTGACGGCCTGCACAACACTTAAACAGTTTGTAATTTATGGCTATATTCTTATATTTTTCTTATTTTTACATTTCTCGCACTCAACTTACGGACATTTTCAATTTGCAGGTACATTTACATTTTTGTGGAGCTGGCTGGGGCCACATAATTAAAACGAAACGAGAGCGCGCTACAAATATTTGCATAAAACGCTGTCGGGCTAATAAGTAATGAACTAAGCCAACTTACAGAGCCCGCATCGTCGGCCGCCCTCGCAAACAAACCTGACAGTTAGCCAGCACCACACAGATGCGAATTACAAAAATACATTTACAGCAACAATTACAGCAGCATTCGTGGAAAAAACGCGACAGCTTAAAAATACTTAATAAAGTGCAGCACGTCTTTTGAGCGGCTCTGGCAATTCTATGAAATTTATGCAACACTGACAGCAAAGCCACAAACCAAAAAGAATACATCAAGGAGCAGACAGACAAGCCGAGCAAAAAAGAAAGTGAGAGATAGATAAAGAGCGTGTGAGAGCGAGTTAGCAATCAACGGTGGCAGGTCCCACTGCCATATAACGGGATTTTTCGCCTGATTTACAGTTACCAACGCACATCACTCCTTTGCCAAGCTAGCACCTTTTACAACACTAACAGCAGAGAGCAACACCAGCAAAATGCGTGGCCGTCACTTGCGCCGACGTTTCAGCTTGCAGCCCTCGTTCATGAAGGATGACAGCGCCGAGGATAAACCCAAGCGTGACAAGTAAGTTATGGCCTCAAATACATATGCAAACAAACCGTATACGTGCCTACACACACACACACACACACGCACACATACACACAAGTAAAGATAAGTCGTGTCATGTCATGCCGATCGACATGAGCAACAGAAGCTAACCACGGTCTGCGGTTAAGCCGTTTGGGAATTATAAGCAAAGTGCTTGCTTTAAGTTTTTTAGAGAAATGTATTGAAGGAGTGAACTTTAAACTTCTCGCATGCATTCTTTTCTAAAAGATGGAATGAAGTGTATATATAAATGTATGTTTTGCATTTTGATTCCTAAATTATGATAGTTTATTTTATTTCGATAACCGAGAAATCAGTTCAATGCAAATATCTTGATATTATCATTATGATTATATTGTCTCTAGATATTATTTATGAGCTATTATCACACCAGCAACATGTTTAGCATAGGGTATTCAATGTTCGTTAAAGTAAATCTTTCATTTATTTTCTATTATGTTAATTAAAAACAGATTTCATTTAAAATGGGAATTTAACATTAAACCGCTGACATATGTAAGTAGGTCTGTAGGAAAATAAATAAAGCGTGGATTGTATTTTAATTATCTCCAGATTTCAAAGCATAAAGCTTGTGATTATTTATATATTCCGAGTAAATATTCCGATGCCGCGTTATGCCTGTGAAGTATTTATTGGAAATAACAGATGAATGGAATAAGCTTCAGCCGGTTTAAAAAAAAATTAATCTAGAACAGAAACGAATATTTATTTAATTATAAACATAAAATCTATCTACAAGATGCAAGTACTTTTGAAAAGCAATGTCAAATATTAAATCTATATAAAAAAGAACTATAAATACTGTTTTGTGTTTTAATAAAAAGTTTCATGGCAGAATATTAAGTCACGAAGGGCTTGAGCAAGTCTGCAATTGTGTAGAGCAGCAGCAGTAGAATCATTTTTGTAATTTCTTGTCATTTCTGTTTTCTTACTTTGTCACAAATTGTAAGCAAGAGTGGTTATAAGACCAGCTGTTGGCCAAGAAGTAGATGTCACCTGTTATGTCCGCCAACAACATGGTGGGGGCTGGCTGCCCAACGGCATTTGCCAGATTAATTTTTTTTCCCACAACAATTACCTTTTAGCAACATTTCAAGTTTTAAGGCACTTTCTTGTTGCTTATTATTTGGCCACCAAGGCGAGCCCATACCCATACCCACAATGATAAGACATTTCTCTGGCTGATTTGCTGTCCGGTGCCCGGACACGAAAGTGGACAGAGATTTGGACGCTGGCGCCCGCATCGCCGGACGAAGGGACCATCGTTTGCATACTTTCCTTTTGTTTCGTCAGCCAAGTAAAGAATTTTATGTTTTGTTGCTTTTACTGCTTGTTTTTGCTCTTGCTCTTCATTTATTCCTTTGAGCCGCATATTTGCGCTGATTATTTTCAGTTTTTTTTTTTTTTATTTATTTTTATTTTTATTTATTTTTTCTTGTATTTACTTCAACGTGCTTCAGTTCGTTGAAGAAGCGAATAATTTTATAAGTTGTTTAGATCAAACTGCCGGCTGCCAGCTGCTCTGGGCCCCAGCGAAATTGAAATTGAAATTCTATTGTCCCTTAGCCGTTCAATGCGTTGGCCAACCTCTGAAACTGAGCTGGGTTGAACAATTTTAAATTTGCAACAAACCGAAAGCTCTTTACCAATTACAGGTAAAATCAATCAATAGGTAAAATCCTTGGCAATGAAAAAGTTGAAATATTTGTCAAGCTCAAAGCAAAATATGACGATGACTCAGGGGCGAGGCGGCCCTCAAGCTTAGCAAATATAACTATCAAAAACTATCGATAATTATTACAATCGATTAGCAACATTGAATATTTTCAAAATGGAAGTATTAAGACTTACAAAATGATCCCATTCAATTTAAGGATGTCTTATTAACTTCTATACTATCGATAGCTGTGCAACTTTTCACAGTACTATCGAAAGCTGTCGATAGAGAGAGGGCACCGGACGCCCTAAATGCTGACGCATTTCCCGCGAGATGACCTGGTGAAGCTTTGGTCAAAAAGAAAGCTTTACGAATTCTAAGAATTTAACTGAAGCGAAGCGCTAATATTGCCTAAAAAGTTTAAATTATTGTCAGTATATTGCCGGGCCTGTGAAACGTTGACGAAGTCGACACAAAGAGGAATTAAAAAGAATTGAAAAGTGAAAAGGAGGAAATGAAATGGGCTCATTTGTGTGCCACAAAGCTGGTAGCTCGTTGAACACCTGAATAAATATCACTCATTATAAAACGCTGCCGTTTCAGGCATAAATCAGTCTGTAAATCTATATGCATATAAGTATATTTATGCATGCATATATATATATTTATCTCCTTATACACAGCCATACACATTCCAGTAGTCTTTGGGCGCCTCGTCTTTGTCCTGGCGGCAAAATGATTAATTTTAAATGTAGCGCACAGTTTTAATGAGTCGCTGTGGAGATTGAAGAGTTACAGCCCCCTCTGTACAGTCCCATGGTTAATTATTATGCGCCACACAGTAGCCTACGCAGTCATACATATGTATGTATGTGCTGTATGTAACTGCTGCCTGCGTATATACGATTAAATTAATAAACATGAAAAAACGCAAAAATAATTCAATTTAAGTTAACTCAACTTGCAAGTCAATACTGTGGCACTACTCACTTATTCAGTCTCGCTTCTTCCTGCTCGAACATCAACTCTGACTCACTTTCACACTAACTCGCACTCTGTCTGTCTCTCCCACAGAGTGGGCCGGAATAATGCAGTGGACGATGCCATTGGACCGGCAAATGCACGTCATAAAATTGTGGTCATGGGCGCGGCTAAAGTGGGAAAAACTTCGATAATCACACAATTTCTATACAACACATTTACCACCAAATATAAAAGGACCATCGAGGAAATGCATCAGGGGAACTTTTCAATTGCGGGCGTTAGCCTAACACTGGACATACTCGATACGGCCGGCTCCTATGAGGTAAGAATTTATATAGTTTATATACAACCCACAGTTCACAGTCCGCCGTTCCGTACTGTACCATGTTGGCTAAGTGAGTTCATTAAGTAATTCAAATTGTTTGGGAGCAGCTCGACTTGCGTGTAAAGGGCTGTGTGGGCGACACGGATTGCTTGGACTTCTACTCCGACTGTGTATGTGTGTGTGTGTGTGTGTGTGGATGTATATTTGTGCTGCTTTTAATTTTTAAATACCTGCCACTAATGGCTTTCAACACACAACACCACTGACATTTAGTTAGTTTTTAATATTTCAGAGCGACGCTCTGGCGTCGTCTCTGTATTCATGTATCCACTTGCACCCTGCCCCTGTCCCTGCGGCACCCGCAACAGCCTCGTGTTGCCCAGCTTCTTCTGCTTTTGTGTGCAGCGGAAATTACAGCCTGCGATTCAATTTCGCTGCCACTTCCGCTAAACGCGAATTGAAATGCTTGTTCATAAAACTGAATGGCAAGTAACAAACGGCAACAGCAGGTGGCAAATGAAAAGAAATATGAATGGGCATGCATACACACACACACACACACACACACACACACACACACACACATACAAGCTATAGCCATCCATTGAGTGCAAGCCAAGTCAACTGTGACTGCACCAAAAGGATATTCAGCAGCTGGATATGTCCTTGATACAGCCGCCTTGGCTACAGAAGCTGCCTCCAACATGTTTTATCATCAGTTTAAGTTATTTCTCAGCATTCACTCTAATATCCATTTTTATTTACGTATGTGAATGTCTACAGTAATACGACGCGGCATGGAACTATCAGGCATTCTTTCGCAAATTTAAATCGCTCAAATTCTCCAGCTTCAAATGGAAATTGACAAGGAGAACAAACGTGAGGCGAAGTTTCGCTTGAGAATGTATTTACTACATAGGAAAAGGAATTAGCTAGATGATAACTATTCGGCTGCAAAGCCAATATTTGTATCTCTAAAATATGACTAGATAAATCAAAAAGCATCTTTTAACAATTTATGGCTATTTATTGGTTTGTTATATAAAGTAATAAATAATATATAATATAATAAATAAATTAATAATATAGCAATGAGCATGGTCATAAATTTAGATTGAGGCTTCGGGAAGTAATTGGAAACTTCGCGTCCATCGGATTGTCCTGCATTTTAGTCTCTAAGCTCAGAGAGCTGCCCAATATATTCTAGAAATCGCTGTGAGCAATCCTAGTTAATGGACTTTTATGCAATATTAATTATATAAACAATTCGCAAGTATTATGCGGCTTTGCCCGCGAGTTCCATTCGGACTTATTTCACGCTTGAAGGAGAATTAAGAGATACCCGTTTTATCACCATCCCGCTTACGCTTAGTGAAGCACGGCTCAAATGAAATTTGATATAGGCTAAATTGATCAGAAATTAGATTTCAGGTCTATCACTTGGTCGCTTATCCATAGATTGAAGTGAACAATCGCTCTAACTTTGACGCTTAATAAAAGTATCTATATTTGTCAAGTGCAAAAGTTTACACTGTGAATTTTATTCGATTTATCTTTTGGCTTTTTGAATTCCTAATTTTTTCTGCAAATTCGCCAGATTACAATATTTTATATAATAGTTAACACTTAATAGCTCCCATACTATCTACTCTATTTATAGCTAAAGTGCGAAGAACTTGTAGGCCTATCTTTTAAAAATCCTTATTAGTGAATATATTTATGTTGATTATATTAATAAATACATATTTTTGGCCTCTCAAAGAATTTTGAAATAAAAATCCTAAAAACCTTTTTAATAAAAATAAAATATGTAATCGAAAAATTTCAAAAGGTTATGATGTTTTTTGAGATCCAAAATCAGAACACAGTTCAATCGCGCACAAACTTTACTTAAATGCAAATATAATGTTGAACCTGAAGATTCAACAGAAGTTTTTGCAATGGGCTCCATGCACAAGAGAGCTTCAATATGTGGAACGTATGCTAGTAAAAAATACAATAACGAGTTGTTGCAAGTACTTATGTATATTTCGATGGCGTAACTGTTGCCTCACGAACACCATCGCAATATCCGTTGCCCAACTGGCAAACAGCAGGCGGTCGTGTTGCAAGTAAAATGTAACAAGTACTACATGTTGCCTGTGTGGCGCATGGAAATATATTGTGTGTGTGTGTGTGTGTTTAAGCAGAAAGTACAGTACAAGTACGCCACCCCCCCTCCCCCCCTTCGACAAGTTGCTATTACATATAGGCTGACATCATCGCGTCCAAATTGAAGTGAGCCAAATTCAAACCTAATACCCGGCACTTAACGTGTATATACATAAATGATGAAGTGCCTAAACGTCCAGGCATATCAATTGTTCAGAGAGAGAGAAATCGCCACAAGTTTTTAAAGCAAATAACATTTGATTTATTAGCAAAACTAACGACAGCGACGAGCTGTCAAGCTTGCAACCACAATATAGCTAGGAAGTTGCTGCAGATTGTCTCAAGTGGCAGGCAGATAAAGATACACATGTCAGGCCAGAGAATAAGCCCTTTTATTTATACCCTGAACCCATTGAAAATGGTTAAAACGGGTATAATGTTTTTGAGCAAATGTATGTAGCAGTCAAAAGGAAGCATCTCCGGCCCCATAAAGTGCATATATTCTTGATCAGCATCAATAGCCGAGTCGATCTAACCATGCCCTATCTGCTTGTCAGTCCCATGAAGTAATATAACTTGTCCTGTTTCCTAGTAAACGATAAAAATCGATATCGAAATGCTGTTTTTTAAGCAAATCTTTTTGGTTTGAAGAGCTTGAGTCATTACATTTAACATATGCATATGTCGTTTGTAGAAGAAGGTTCAGGGTATCCCCTAGTCGGGTACTCCAGGCTAGAGCACTCTGGCTTGTTTTCTAATGCTGCACCTGTCAAAATTCATGCAACATGACAAGAAATTAAGTGTCAGATTATTTTTGGATCAAGTTATCAAATTGTGTACAATTGTCGATAGCTTGACAGGAGCATCCAGGAGCTCTGCATGTGATTCGAAAAATTGTTATATTTTATATTCAATGTGTCAATTGCAGCAAAGATTTGCTGCTACTTTGTTTATGTCAAAAGCTTGTGTAGAATAAGTACCAATAGCTTCAATAACACATGAAGTCAATTTGGGAGGCATCAAAATTCAAGACATTGTAATTAGGCCTGTGAATGCCATTATAAAAAGCAATTTAACTACATATCAGAAATGCTCGAAATGGTTACAAAACCCTTTCAACACGCACTGTTACTGATACTTAACACTAACCGCAAATGATAAAAAGTTTAATTTAGTAAATTTATTGCATATTTTATGGAACTAGATAATACATGAAGCCCACAGATATATCTGCAAACACATTTATGTGTTCTTTATAGATAGAGTTGAATGCGAATTGGTAGTAAAATGAAAGTAAACACAAAGTGTTTAATTCTTTCTCAGACTGTTAGCGCTCTAATGAAAATTATTGAAAGGTTTAGGGGCAAAGTAGTTTTTCGACAAATACAACCAGTATATGCTCCGTTTTGGCAAGCAATATAATCTAAATTATTCTCAAAAGAAATATTTTAAAACGAAAAACTAGAGATATCTTCGCCACGCCGAGGATTTAATACCCTTGTCGACATTCCCTTTTCGCAGATATGTAAGAAGCGTAAAGCTCGTTAATGTTGAGCTTGTTAAAAATAATTTTGAAAACAGAATATCTTGCCATAAATATTCCTACTACTTGACCGATCTTTTTTTTGTGCATCTATATAATATAGTAGTCTGATGTTGATAAGTTTTTGCAGATATATAGAGGGCATAGTAAAACTTTTAAATGCAAAGTTTGGGTAAGATATCTTGGTAAGGGAAAAAGTTGTTCATATACGAACCTACCTATGGCAGCTATATAATGTGGTGGTCCATTCCGGCCTGCTCCTGCTCAGACGGAGATTGCTAAATACACTTGGCTGTTGATGCTGATCTAGAATATATACATATGCTTTATGGGATCGGAGATGCCGCCTTCTATGCGTTACATATTGCATGCCAAAATTTTAATATCCTCTACAAGGGCATAAAAAGCGTTATCATGCGTATACTATGCTACAATAAATGATGCAGCAGCTTCATGGTTTCTGTGCTGGGTATTACGAAGTTGAGCACTCTATGCATAAATATTCGTACTTTTGCACTGTCTTGGAGTGTAATTCGGTTGCCTAACTTGAACAACAACAACCACAAAATGGCATAAAATTTTAACACATTTACGCAGTGCTCATAAATTTTATGATGTGTGGAATATTCCCAAGGGCGTAGACACTCGACGACGAGCGCCACATAAATCGCATAGTGCATATATGTAAGTGTGTGTTTGGTGTGTGTGTGTGTGTGTGTGTATGTATGTATGGCTAACCCCTTGCGAGTGGCTAATAATTTAGTTACTGTGCTGGGACCATGCATGGGCAGTGGCAAACAAAATTCAGCTGCCCGAATGCACCACTAAAAAGTGATGAGGGGATGGAGGGGGACATCCTTTGTTGGGATCAAATGATGGGATTGAAGTGCCCATAACCAAAGCAATGCCATTGAGTGTATGCCATAAATACTGTCTCATAAAAATGTATATGGGACAAGAGCCTAAAATCAATAATTATTACGCTTATTAACCACGAATATAAAGTGCAGCTAGTTTGAATTTTCATATTGTACTTTAGCGTGAATTTAACGATTTTTGCATTAACTAATTCTGCATTTGTGCTGACAAACAACATTATGGCCAACGACCAAAATAATATATGTATTGATAAGAAATTATATTTAAGTCGTTAATTCAATTTTGGTTACCCAAAATGGCAGCGTAATAGGTTTTGTTGTTAATTGAAAATTCCAATCACGGTCATAAAATGTACGGAAACTGATTATAAATTGAATGACAAAAGGGCACATAGCCCGCACAAAGCCGGGTAGCGATAACTAGT